AGTCTGCTATAAACTCTTCGCTGCCATCCAAAGTCTCAGCCGTGTTTAACATTCGTCTTCCCCATTGAACAAACGTGGTTCGCTAAAAAAGCATCATGGCAGCTCCAAAGGTGTGTCATATTTCCGCTCGCTCGCATTTCTCGTTTCTGCAACTTCTCTTCATGGCGAGGCTATGAAGTTATCAATACTAAACATATTGCTTTGCTGCAGCTTACCGATCCTACCCTCATCAAGAACGCATGTTACGTCAATGGTGAATGGGTAGCTGCAAAGTCTGGGAAGCACTTTGCTGTCGAAAGTAAGGACTCCTGCAAACCCCTGTGTCCGTGAAATCCGAGATCATTTACTAACGTTACCTACCTTCATGCAGACCCTTCAACCCTTGAAAAGATTGGGAATTGTCCCGAGTTCGACGCCAGTGACACTGAAGCCGCTATCGCCGCCGCCGATGTCGCATACAAGACATACCGTAAGACCCCGGCTCGCCAGCGGGCCCGGTACCTCCGCCGCTGGTATGATCTCATGATGGAGAACTCGGAGGACATTGCACGACTCATCACCCTTGAGAACGGCAAGCCTCTGGCAGATGGCAGGGCAGAGGCCAACTATGCAGCATCTTTCTTTGAATGGTTTTCAGAGGAGGCCTCCAGAATGTATGGTGAGACCATCGAGGCAACAAACCCATCATGTCGTCTATCCACCATCAAACAGCCTGTAGGTGTCTGTGGCCTCATTGCACCATGGAACTTCCCCGCTGCCATGATCACCCGAAAGGCCGGGCCTGCGCTCGCTGCTGGCTGTACTGTTGTCATTAAAGCTCCCGCCGAGGCTCCTCTGACAGCTCTTGCTCTGGCTGAGCTGGCGCATCGTGCTGGAATTCCTGCCGGCGTTGTCAACGTTATCACAGCCTTGGATAACACTGCTGAAGTGGGCAAAGTCTTGACTACACATCCTAAGGTCAAGAAGGTCTCTTTCACGGGATCAACTGGCGTGGGCAGACTCCTTATGAACCAATCGTCTTCGACAATCAAGAAATTGTCCTTTGAATTAGGCGGAAACGCTCCTTTCATCGTTTTTGAAGATGCGGACCTTGATAAGGCTGTTAAGGGTGTGATCGCTTGCAAATTCCGCAACTCGGGTCAAACTTGCGTTTGCGCCAACCGAATTCTGGTGCACCGCAGTATCTATGACAAGTTTGTTCAAATGGTCCTCGATGTTGTCAAGACCTTCATTGTTGGTGACGGCTTTGGTGAGAAGACAACCCATGGTCCTCTCATCCATGGCCGTGCCGTAGCCAAGGCTGCTGAGCATGTTGAAGATGCTCTTTCCAAGGGGGCCAAGCTTGTTCACGGTGGCGAGCGTCTACCACACCTCGGCCCTAACTACTTTGACCTCACAATGTTAACTGGTATGAAGCCTGGCATGAAGATCTGTAGCGAAGAGACTTTCGGTCCTGTTGCCGCTTTCTTTGCATTCGACAACGAGGACGAAGCTATTGAGCTTGCGAACGACAGTGATGTTGGTCTTGGAGGATATTTCTTCAGCAACAATGTGAACCGATGTTATCGTGTGGCTGAAGCCTTAGAGGTTGGTATGGTTGGTGTAAATTGCGGTAAGTTTCCCAAGCATCAGAATATTGCATATCGCTGACAGCAAACCCCAGGTGTCCTGAGCGACCCTGCCGCTCCTTTTGGTGGCATTAAGCAGAGTGGGTTTGGAAGAGAAGGAAGTAAGTATGGTATCGACGAGTTTACAATCACCAAGATGGTTATGACAAACATTGATCCATAAGTTTTGGTGGAGTTGAGACATGGATTAGGATGGCTATAGACAAAACAATACCCACTGGACGATTATAGAGACGGAGTGCTAGAACATTTAGGTGAACAGAATTGCTATACTGATAGACCAGCGGATTTCACGTGTATGTGGAGAGCACTATTCTAAGCGATCATAACAGACGTCCAGACCCTTGACCTGCAGGCCGCCTCATCTTGACTAAATGGGGGATGCATCGGTGTGACATAAAGACCCTAAGGCTAAGGTCCGTCTAGATACCTAACTAGGATGTAGTGAAGTGCCACCGTTTGTATTGCAGTAGTTATGATAAATACGGCACGTAGCTCATCAACATTTGGCAGATATGCCGCTTTGTAGATACTATCAGTAGGCATGAGGTTGCCTATCAGGGCAATTCAGTAAAAGACTCGAGGCGTTTCGTTACCAAATCGTTTATTGATTGTCATAGTCCATTTTTTTAACAACACTCCTCTATAGTCAATACTGACTTTATGAGGCTATCGCCACAATCAAAAAGCCGCTTTGGCGACGGGTCTATGGTGTTCATTGTTTCCCAGCGGGACCCGCTCCGCTGCAAATACAGGGTTAGTAGTTATTTGAGATCTTGGATCGGGCTGTTCGCGTTCGGCATTTGAACGGGCACGATGCAATGGCCGGAGACAGTGATTAGGTATTCTAAATCCCCGGTCCGGTCCGGTCATATCTCGTCTTCTTTTGAAGATACCTATGAAACAGAGCAGATAATGATGAAATGGCAGAATGTGGGGAAGCGGGCAGAGATGTCTCTCTTGTAAGACGTATCGACCGGGAACAAATGCCGGCCCCACATGTGTACAGGTACTCCAACAGTTCATGACGATAAGCAGGGCAGATGGTAGGATGGCAGATGTTCAAAAACATGCCCTTATTATTATTATTATATTCATCACTGTAGTTCTCAGAATATTCACATAGGCTCCAAGGGGAGTTATGTCATCTTAATCAATGAGGGATAGCATACTCTCAGCGGTACCTGTTACCCTACCTAGGGTAGGCTATATTGCACTACTACCTGCGTGGTTGAGGATTAAGTAGTATCGTTTGTATGGAAGATCATGTCCGGTAATAAGACATTGGAGGCGGGAGATGCGTGGTAGCTGAATTCTGTACGTAAAAGGGCAAAGGTGTGTCCAACCGAACCACATTGCCTACCTTGCAGCTTCTAGTAGTGGCTAACTCCGGAGGTTACTTCGAACTGGCCGAAACCTGAAGTTACCTATCCAACCTAGCCACCGGAACCGAGATCTCGGCTCCAACAGCCATTGACCCATTAGTTAGGTCATCTGATTCTGGGTTCCACGGATTACATACCGGGCCGTATTAGCGAGTCTTTACTCCGTATATAAACTCGTTTTCAGGAACTTTATATCATTCACGATTGATGATGACTAAATCTCAGACTTGGACTATTTCTCTATATGTTTCTATAGGGTACTTGGGGAATTAGCTGTTCTTATAAGGCACTGGCGTTGTGTAGGCTGTAGCATTAGGTTGTTCTTGTATCGGCAGTTTTGGCTTCTGTGTTTCATTGTTATTGACATTAAAATACATGATTTTAGGCATATGTCTTGCAGCCTATGATACTCTGGACGTTATTCGGGTAGGCGATAGAGGGATCAGCTAGTTCTCATCTAGTCAACCTATTATTCAAGAGGGGCGCCACTTTCTTGATACCATGATCTGATCCCAATAACACAATTTCGAAATTATGTTAATGATATAGAATTTACTGCAACCATTTCCAAGTCTTGTGTAGGACAGCTACCGAAACCTGGACAATCAAGGCCATTTGAAACCAGCCTACACTTACCACTGGGTTTTTAGAGACACATGCAGATAGAACTTAGTCTGTTTTTGCCAATCCCTCTGCCCAGTAATATGTTCACGGCTATGATCTATCACTGAGAAGGCGTCTAGATAAGATAATGTAGAGATCATATCGATACAATAAGCTTCATAACCTCATTTGTATGCCTCCCATCCCAGATTCAGTCACCAGTGGCATGCTTACTTAGATTCGTCTTTGGCCAGCAGGTTTTCCACTCTCTTGACCTTGTCCTCCGCCGTTTGTTTCTTGTCCGTTCTATGATAAGATCATGATTAGCATGCAGCCACACAAGATACCAGGGAAATAATGCTTATGAAGGGCGGTTGAACTTACCGACTACCAACCCTCATAGACGACTGAATCCTGACTACACCACGGCGGTGCACAACAGCATGTGCTTTTCCTACAGCCGCCATTACCTCGTTCCACGATCCCTCTAAAGAGAACTTGTTAGCTTTATGCACCTGGAGCTGTGAAGAGTGCTGCAGTAAGTAAAGCATAATATTGGTGCAGGCCAGAAATAACGCACCCACGGTGGTGCCAGCAGAGTGAAGAGTATACTTCAATCCACTCGCCTTGAGGACCTTTTGAACCTCAGCAATATCTTCGGCAACGGATACAGTTCCAGTTCCGATCTTTTCGTTGTCAGTATTAGAATATCTGCATTCCCAATGCTTCGAGGGACAGAAACCAAAACTCACGGGAAGAAGGCAAAAGTCGACATAGCACGACTCCGGCGTAGCAATACTTTCGTAATCCATAGTCAAAATCCGAGGTTCCAGTTTGAGTGGTATGAAATATGATCAAGAGTGAGGGTGGGAAAAAAACAAGAGGAATAGATTGATGGTGTTCTAGGCTTCTGGGTCTTGGACTTGGTCTAAACCTCTGCTAATTGGCTGACATGACGTTGCAATCATCAACGACTTCATGATGTTGAAAACGCTGATAATGTTGCTGACGAGGGGCACAGCGGTGCCTTATTCATGAAATACGTATCGTCATTCCCAGAGCAATTTTCAGTCAATATGACATCTTTATACATTTCTATTGAGAGTCGATCATCAAGGTAAATGCATATCGTCTGTCTAACAGGCCCATCTTATGTCACCATATCGCTTCAAAGCTATCGACCAATCCTCCCTGTCCCTAGTCGTAATTCAATCTATGAAGATGCAAGCTTGCTATCCCAAACGCCTCGCTGTATGCCCATGTGTCCGAACCGAATTAAACGGCAGGTATTATTCAAACCTGTGTAAATAATGTCGAGAGAAGAGTAAAGACAAAGAAATCGCGCTTGAATGCTGAAATGTATTCAAGTCTTGGGAAACTTTTTTTATACCAACAGCACTGCGGCAGCGACGAAGGCAGTCAGGGCTACCATCCCGACTTGTCTGTCAGTGGTGCTGCCGATCGACTCATCCGAGACCTCCTCACGCCCAGTGGCGTTAGAGATACCGTTCATAGTGTCTGTCGCTGCGAGAACCTGACCCTTCTCGAAGAAGTCTACCAGCACAAAGTTGGGCACAGCACCCCACTCCTGTCGGCATTCCCGAAGATGCTTGCCCAATTGGCCGTCCTCGCTGGTACCATCACTGTTGACAGTATCGATGTTCTCAGTGTCAGGGAGAAAAAAGTCACTGTTGTCTGAAAGACTCTGATACTTGAAGTGATTGACGAGACCCATGTAGTTACTAGCCATGGCTGTAGCACCATCCTTAATCTTAGAGGGGCGGTCGACAGTGCAGTTAAAGCCGGTGAGAGAGGGAACCTCAAACGCTGTCTCAAAGACATAGTCGAACTCTGGCATCAGGTAGGGATACTGGGTCGAAGCATCAATGTTGGTGACGAAAGTTACGAGGCGTGTGCTGTTATCGATCATGGACTTGAGAGTAGGCCACTCGCTGGTCGGTTCCTGGATAGCGGGTGTGTAAGCCAGCTCAGCAATGCCGGAACCGTTAATGGCCTGGCCAAACTCATCAGGTTTGGCATCGTCGGAGTTGACAAGCAAGAGAGTGACAACCTCATTCTTGTTCGCCTTCATCCACACGTTGATTTTGGTCAACCAGTCCTCCAGTGGGCCAGCGTCGAGAATGCCACAGGAAGTGTGACAAAGGCGGAGGGTGTTGTTTTCCTTGTGTACCTGGGCCTGAAGCAGACGAAGACCAGCATCGAGAGCATCCGTGGCGTTGAAGTTCTGGTTACCTGCGGCGGCGAGTCCGTTGTTGCCATCGCGTAGAAAAGAGCTTCCGTGAGCCCCCATGTGTGTGATGTTGTTATAACTGCGGCTGCAGAGGTCCGGAGAGTTGTTGCATGCCGTTGAAGAGCTTGACCCTGACCCTGACCCTGAATTTGATTGTGGGAGAGCGTAGACGGTGGACGTAGCAGCGAGAACTCCGGCCACGACGGAGAGAAGTGAGGACTGGAGCATGTCGGTTGGTATCTGATATATGTCGGTCTTATCGAGAATGTATGTGTTTGACGAGGCAGAAGAAAAATATGATGAGGATGCAAAAGATAGACAGGAAGTAAGAAACAAATCTAAAGAAGGACATATGAGGTTAATAAACTATGAAACAAAGAAAACAATATTTGCCATGAGTAAGTATGTATGTCATGAGGTAGGCTGTAGGTCCCCGTAGGCATAGGGGATGAGAATAGTTGCTGTCCGTGCTTTCAAGCTGACGTCGCCCCGGTCCAATTTTCTTTATTTTTTGTTCGAGGTTGGAGTTGGTGGCGGCTCACTGAGAGCCATGAGAGCGAACCAGAAGAGGCCCTGGATATCCACTGGATACCCACTACCTGGAACACTGGAGTGATCGCCAAACGACCGAAAAGCCAAGACGTTGAAGGTTGGGGCTGAGGTCGGGTCAGGTCTCGAGTGGTCGATGCTGCGCCCCTTGAGACGTCAGCAGTGCATATGCCCTAGAGGTGTTGTGTTACACTTCAAACGCCAGCGAGACAAGTTAAGAATAGGTTAACGTCGTAAACAGAGTTGAAATCTGTTTAAGATACAGTTTGAGATTGTATCTGTCGAGCAAATCCTAGGTATGTTTTCTAAAAGCATAAAGCATAAATAAGGCATTTACTGTATCCGTAAATCGATGTTACTTCACGCTCGATACACGTCATGTGGTTGGCCAGTGTTATGTATCATACGGACAGCCGCAGATCAACATGAACCACGTTTATCCATCCATCCCACCATCCAAGGCTCCAACCACCACTGTTTACGATGCTACTGAGCGAGCAGCCACACATCAAACGTGTAATGACTTATTCCAAGATGCCAAGAAAATATACTGTACCTTACACTGCGGGAGCCGACACGTTGTCTCGGGTGCAGTCGTTTGCCCCTCCACATTCCGGACATTTGAGCTCGCCTCGCCGCGAGCGAGATTGGATCTCGTTTGTCTAATTCTCTCTCGTATCTAATATTAACTCCTTTTGACTCGACGAACTGGATTTTCTCAGGTATGACCCGAAAGCTGTGACACCATCGAACTACAGAATCACATCTAACCTCAGCTTCTGATGCATACCACGATAACTAGCCAGTCACTGTGAAGGAGAAGGTGGCGGCGGCTGGGAGGCTGAGCAGACAACATTTTTGAGGGGCATGGTCTATTTTTATCTGTTTCATGCCATTAGTTTAGCTTCCGCGGGCGGCGACCTACATTAACGTGGCGGCTCAAAATGTTGTCCAAGCATGACGGACCTCACTTCTCAACGTTTCAAACACGATGGCATGGTGGTTGGTTTATATGTAGGCATACGGCCATGGCGATCAACCGCGCTTCCTTCACTTAGCTAAGATATACTTCAATAACCCATTGGTGCATATTCAGTAACATTTTTCTTACATCCTACGTAGGTAGCCATTAACAAAGTAAGGTGGGGGCCCCTCGCAAGACTGCATATATCTTATAGCGAGCAAGTTCTTGTCCTTGAACACTCTTGCTTACTCAGGATCACCGTATTCTTCTTTCTTGTCGACAGAAGCCGCAGCTTCAATCTCTTTCAACTGCTGTTTCCCCTCCTCTGTTGTAGCGTCAATGATTTCTTCTTCCAGGCTCAAAATGTTGGCCTATCAAGTGATTCGTTAGCTTGTGAATTGTAATCTTGTCGACAAGAGTTGGCAACTTACCTCGCCAAAGAGACCCACGAGTTCCTCAGCCTCGTCAATCTTCATTTCACCCAGCACTTTGTTCACTTCGTCCAAGTTGCCCGTCTCCAAGGCCTTGCGCATCTCAGGCTTGAAACTTTCGAAGATCTTCCGCGCTTCCTGCTCTTCAGGGTCCTCGCTGTCCGCTGAAGGAACCTTGATGTTGATGACTGTACCAGGCTCCACGGCATGTAGCTGAATTTGCTCGACACCTTCGGCTTGCCCTTCTTTGGCTCGCTCGGCTAAGATCTCCCTTGAACGTGTTCGAATCTTCATATATGTGTCTTGCACATCCTTATAAAATACGTCCTGTGCTTGGTGCCCCTTGGTTGTGATGCGTTTAAAGAAAAGCCCTACACCATCCTTGCCAAGAGCTCTGCAGTATTGTAGGAGCAGAGCCTGATGCACTAATTGTCGCGACAACTCATCCTTGTTCTCCAGAGCAGCATCAAAAGCCTGAACCAGAAGGCCATCTGTCTCCCTCTCAACCAGCAACTGAGGATTCTGAGACAGGAACTGGAGACTAGCTGCATAGTCATTGGCCTTGATGGTGCCAAATTTCTTTCCAGCCGGGGAAGATTCGATATCGCTGTCATCGTCCACCTTGACGTCTTGGTTTCCGGACGCCGAACTGGAGGAGGTTTCAGCGAAACTAGGATTCAGAAGCTCTACCTGTGTAGAGTCTTTCTTCTCTTCTGGCTTTGACTTGGCGACATGTGAGCTATCAAAACCTGTGTGAATGCCCTCACTTGTGATCTTTCGGCCTTCCTCCTTCTGCAACTCCTCCAACTTAAATACTAGCTGTTTCTGCAGGTCCATTACCTTATCCTCGTGTGACTGAATCTCAGAAATCATAGCTTCGTATCTGTTTTCCGGTTTCTTCTCATCCAAAGCCTTATTGACTTGGTCCAGGAGCGTTGCCATCATCTTAGTGTATGATGGCTGTTCCTTCTCCTGGGCATGAACACCCTCCGGCGGTGAAGGCGGCTTGTCATCTTTTGGATTTCCGGCTGATTCCATTACGGCTTGAAAGGCAACTTCAGCTGGGTTCCTGGTGACAGCCTCGGAGGCATGGGCTCGCAGCGATGCCAGAAGTCCAGAAATTCGCTTCAGCAATCCATCGTTGACCACACGCTCATACTTGTAGGTCTCGATTTGCAACTTTCGGTGCTGTCTCTCCTGATGAATCTGATTCTGCTTCGCGCGGATGAACGATCGCTTGTCGACATTAGGATGCACTTCAATGTCGGAGTCGTCACTGAGTTCCAGTGCGTCCTACCAAGACTGTCAGGGACGGGATCAAGCAAACAGGTTCCAAAACTTACCCATTTACTATAATCGACCGGCATGTTGTAGACTTTGATATGTATAAGTCACCGTCTTATCAGGGGTGTCGTGAGAGGAGTCTAGTAAGGAGTGCTGGTGTTGAATAAGGCCGCAGGAATGGAAGTTTCTGGACCTTACTTTAGAGCTCTACCATGATAGCGGGGTGACTATGAGCAACCCCACTAGTGTGGTTGTGGCGGACTGTGGCTGTTGTTTATACCAGCCACAACATGGAGAACGAAAGTGGACGAGGTACTGAGTCCCACACCGAACGAAGAATCGTAACATGGATACTAAGTAAGTTCTCATTGCCACAATAGTGAAAACAGACAACAAATAGTATCCTTAGCAATTATTCCACAAGCAAAAGTACGCCTTCGCTAAATGAACGATCTAGGCTATTGTACACATCAACATTGACGGGGTTCAATACCATATTCTAGTAGACCACCGTTTCGTCCAAAATTCGTCAATCGAATGCTTCACCGTGTTTTCAGCAAGCCTGAGAAGTCGGCCTATTGCCTACGACATCGTCTTCATGAAGTCATCCAGGTCGAAACTCTCCTCATACTGCTTGTTATCCCAAAGATCCCCCAAATCATCCAGCCATGCCTTCTTGCCTGGTACACGCACATCACCTGTCTCGATATCGACCATATCCTCTTCTCTTCCTTCGATGTTATTCTTCTCCTTATCAGCTAAGAGGTTTGGTGCGGCGTCTCCAACATTGAATAGATCAAGAATCTGATCTGTGTCCATCGTTGAGAGGCCAGCGTTCTGTTGATTTACGACCGTTGATGCGACATCAATCTTGAAACGTTGGAGGTTCAGGATTTTCTCCTCGAGAGTTCCACGTGTGATTAGGCGGTACACGTTTACCACTTTCTTTTGACCGATACGATGGGCTCGATCCATAGCCTGGAGATCTTTCTGGGGGTTCCAATCGTGCTCCACGAAGATGACAGTATCGGCTCCTGTCAAATTCAGCCCAAGACCTCCCACGCTCGTTGTTAACAAAAGCACGTCATACGACGGGTCGCTGTTAAACTTGTTGACGATATCCTGTCTCTTGTTGGCTTCGACTGAGCCGTCAAGTCGTAGGTGAGATACTGAGGGCAATAACTCCTTCAATACCTTGTTTTGCACCATATCGAGCATCTCCTTCATTTGACAGAAGATCAACGCGCGGTGGGGCTTAATAGGTTGGTAAAGGGGATCATTCGAATCATTGCCTTCAACGCCAATGCCGCAATCCACCAGTAGATCTCTCAGGGCGGTCAATTTGGGTGCGTGCTGGGCATCCTCAATGGAGGTTCCTTGCTTGGCGAGAATCTTCTGCGTCTCGTCGTAAAGAGTGCTTCCTGGTTTCATTACCATGGCAGGTGAGTTGCACAACTTTCGCATATACTGTAGCGCCTGGAAAATATGTTGCTTGGCTTCTTTATCTTCACGACCCGCTTCGGCCTGAATCTTCTTGCCCTGTTTCTTCGTGAAGTCCTCGAATAGTTTTTGCTGTAGGTCGCTCAGGTCACAATAGTAGTTCTGCAAGATCTTTGGCGGAAGATCGTTCAAAACCTCCTCTTTGAGGCGTCGCAGCAGGAATGGAAGCACCTGTTTGTGGAGTGCTTCAATCGCCAAGGCACCCGCTTCCTGTTCCTTTGATGATGCCTTGCTAAATCGACTTGCTGCTATAGGTTTCGCAAAGCGATCCAGAAAGACCTTTTCAGCACCCAAGAATCCAGGCATCAAAAAGTCAAACAGAGACCAAAGCTCTAAGACATTATTCTGAATAGGGGTGCCGGTGAGGATAAGACGATGATTACTTGCCAACCTCTTGACTGCCTGGGTGATCTTGGCTTTAGGGTTCTTGATCAGATGGCCTTCGTCGAGCACTACATAGTTCCAACTATGTTTATTGAGAACTTCTGAGTCATTGCGGC